TTTGAGGTGAGCCTCCAGGTAAGTCCTAACCAATCAGAAGCTTCCAAAGCCATGACATCATCAGTTTGAAGACATAGTAATCTTTACTGATAAGTCCTGACTGACCTGAAACAGGAAAAGTTTCCTCTGATTTAATGTCAGATGGTGAGAAATAAAAGGTCTTTTATACGGTGGATGTGACCTCCTGGTTTCTACATCACGTTAGAAGAAGCAGCAGGTCCACGACTCTCCTGTCTGAGCTCTAGAGAAGGAACATTTCTCATATTTTGTGGGTCTGTCGTGTTCAAAACCAACAAAAACAGTAGATTTTGCTGATTTGGCTCCTTTAAAACATGTAAACACATTCACGTAGACCCCGAAAATAAAACTACGAGCCTGAAAATGAGCAGAATGTGGAGTCTGTAGGTCAATTCTGAGCAATCTGAAGCTTTAAATGTCTGTTTTAGGCCACGAATGTGGTCGAATTATCAATTTGTGTGTGAAAACTCCTCAAGAGAGTTGAAGGATAACATGATTATCAGCACAGGACACGACGAGCAGCTGCAGGAAATGCTTTAAAATACAAGTCGCAGGTTAATTTAATTTTGGGATCAGTACCTCCAAGTCCGAGGCCATGGTCCTCTGCCGGAAACCCTCTGGGTGGGTTGGGGGGAGGGGGGGGATCAGGATCTTGTTCACAAGTGAAAATGGAGCGTGAGGTGGACAGGCGGCTCGGTGCGGCGTCAGCAGTAATGCAGGCGCTGTACCGGACCATCATGGTGATCTACCAGCTACCAGTCCATCTACGTCCCAACCCTCACCTATGGTCACGAGCTTTGGGTCGTGACCGAATGAAACAAGATCGTGGATACAAGCAGCTGAAATGAGTTTCCTCCACAGAGTGTCTGGACTCAGCCTTAGAGATAGGGTGAGGAGCTCGGACATCCGGAGGGATCTCGGAGTAGAGCTGCTGGTCCTTCATGTCGAAAGGAGCCAGCTGAGGTGGTTTGGACATCTGGTTCGGATGCCTCCAGAGAGGCTTCCTCTGGAGGTCTTCCAAACACGTCCACCTGGGAGGAGACCCCGGGGCAGACCCAGGACCCACTGGAGGGATTATATCTCTGGGCTGGCCTGGGAACGCCTCAGGATCCCCCAGGAAGAGCTGGAGAGCGTCGCTGGGGGGAGGGAGGTCTGGGATGACCTGCTCCACCTGCTGCCCCCGTGACCCGACCCCGGATAAGCGGAAGATAATGGATGGATGGAGGTTAGTTTAGATTCGGGGGCGACATGACGAAGCCCTTTCTGCCGCTCCCCTCAGCAACAGGTGGACTACCGAACCCAGAACCCTTCACGTGCACACAAAGCCACGGATGCAGCGTCAAGTATCACAATTTTATTACAAAAATTAAATTCTTCATCTCTCAGTTTTTGCCATGCTTGGAGCATATAACAATACAGTAAAAAACCCGGACCCAGAGAAGATAGTAAAGCAGGTTTCAACAACGCCTCCACAGCACTCCGTCATTCATGCTGTTACTATACAGACACCGGAACATTCCTAATACAGAGCAGTACAAACACCTGCCAAGAACACGTCATGTCAGAGGAAAACGGACCGCGATCAAAGTACATTTAACCAGAGGAACGAAAAACAACTAAAAGTTCAAACAAATCATAAAGGAACACTGAACCAGCAACTGAAGACAGACTGAGATGTGCTGCTGAACACTCGTACCAGCCCAAGGCACCCAGGCTTTCGTAGCAATGTTGGCAAAGTTAACGACATTCGTTTACGGAAAAAACACTTGAAAGCGAAACGATGAGTCGACTGGCGCGGTTGGCTTTTGCGGCGCGCCCTCCCTCCTCCTCCCGGCGTTTTGTTTTTTTTTGTTTTTTTTTTTGTTTCCTCGTCCTCGTGGGTCACAGTGCAAAAGATCCGGAGGGAAGGTGGGGCGGTGGGGTGGGAGCTGCTGTACCGCGTCGGACATCACTTCACGGCGCCAAACACTGACAAGAATTGGACGGACAGCGTAAATCTCCACGGGGACGGTGGGCGGGTCGGTGGTGTAATTCCTCACTTGGATGCGTCCAAACGTAAGGCGGTTCGCCAGCTGCCAAGTCCGAGACGGGAAAGCCAGAAACCAACAAACAAAATCAAAAAGAAGAACTCAGGTGTGCTCTGGATTCATGAATGGATGCGTTCTCGCAGATTGTTTCCAAGATGAGTTTTTTTTTTTTTTAGTTTTTTTTGTCTATTTTGGACAAAAAGTGTTTTTTTTTGTTTGCACATGAATACCTAATAGAAATCCCAGATCTGTAAGCTTACCAATAAAGTCTCTAACGAAATGAAGACGAGAAACGACGAAAAAAGCTCAGAAATACGGTGGAGTCGGAGGGAGGGGGAAACGGGCGCCCCGGAGGCTCAGTTGAGCGAACGGCACGGCTCGAAGGTCCATTTGGTGGCGCCGCCGAATATCTCGATGCTGCTCTCTGTCCAGGAGAAGACGTTGCCGGCCGGCGCTTTGCTGTTGCAGGTGGCCAGGTTGTAGATCTCAGCGATGGACAGCTTCCGGTTCCAGATGTTGAGGTTGGCCAGCTCGCCGACGAAGGCCTGCGTGGCGTCGAAGCCGCCGCCCAGCGTGTCCTGAGGAGAGAAGACGGGAAGCGGCTCGTTAGCCAATCAAAGGCAAACAGGAAGCAGCTCATTAGCCAATCACAAGGAAACAGGAAGCAGCTCATTAGCCAATCACAAGGAAACAGGAAGCAGCTCATTAGCCAATCACAGGCAAACAGGAAGTGTATGCGTTGTCATGTGGAAAACCCCTAAAGCTGTCGATGCCATGCAGTCAGATTTAGTTCTCAGTGACAGAAATGAAGATTTAGCTCAACTACACTGTAAAAAACATTCTGGTAAAAATTCCTGGAGCCAGACTGTGAAAATAACAGAAATAACAGCAAATATATGGGAAATAATCAGATTTTTACAGATTTTACAGTCAACTGTTGTGAAAGAATGACTTAAGTTTGTATTTTTAAAAAATACTTTAAAATAATAGTTGAAACAATTTAATATTTTTCAGTTTTTTTCATTAAATATCAGCAAATATCTGTAAAATAATTAGTTTTTGTTTGTAGAGTTTTTAAAAAATCCTGTAATTTTACAGTTAAAAAACAGATCTACGATTTGTTTAAAAAAAAGTATATATAAAATTAATAGTTTTTCTTTCAAATCACAGCAAATATCTGTGAAGTAATGATAACTGTAGTCGAGTAAAACATAAAAAACTGTAATTTTACAGTCAAACATTGTGAAAGAATCGCTTAAATTTGTTAAAATAATTTTAAAATTTTAAATGTAAAATAGCAGTTAAAATAATGTGCTATCTCTCAGTTCTTACGATATTTAGCATTTTTCCTTTAAATAAAAGCAAATATCTGAGAAATAATGAGATTTTTTATAGTAGAGTAAAAAAACAAATGCTGTAATTTTTCTGTCAAATGCTGTGAAAAAATATCGAGTATTTGTAAAAAATTATTTTTTTAATAAGACTATTTTTCAGTTCTTGACGTATGTATAATTTTTCGTTCTAATAACAGCAAATATCTGTAAAATAATATTTTTTAGTTGAGCAAAACATGTTTTAATATAAATTTACAGTCAAATGTGAAAGAATTACTTAAATTTGTAAAAAAGAAAAAAAAGAAAATAATTTACAATTTTTCAGTTCTTGACATATTTATTTTTCTGTCAAATAACAGCAAATATCTGTAAAGAAATGATTTATAATAATCGTGTAATTTTGAATCAATCATAGTAAAGAAATTATTATTTGTAAAAAATACAGATTTGTTTTGATTGTTTGTTGTTTTTGTTTTTTACAGTCAACATGTAAATTTATAAATTTTGTGTTTTTTTCCGGTAGTTATTTATAGTAAATTATCAAAACAGGAAAAATCTGTAAAATAACAGTAAATTTTTGTTTTTAATTTTAGTGTAAAACTTTTTTAAAAGTTGATTTTTACAGTGTAGTTAGAGCTGACTTCTGTTCTGTATTTAAAACAAAACAAACATTTATGGTTATTTTTTCCAACAACTAGTAAACTAACTGAGAAAAACAATTAATTTACTGGTTAAAGAAAATCGCCCAAAACTTTGAATAATGACGTCAGAAACTATTTTTTAAAGTAGTAATTTGTTCCTTTATGACCTTTGACCCTAAAGTTAGACTATTATCATTATTTAATGAACTTAAATCTGCAAAAACATTCTTATTTTATAGACATTTGCATTAATTTGAATCAGAAATAATGTTTATAAAATCATTTTTTAGAGATTTTCTTAAATGATATCGAGTGAAATTAAACAAACTGGTGCCTGTAAGTTAAATAAATCAAATAAAACTGTAAATAATGTCCACATCAGACATCCACATTATTGCTAATTAACAGTAATTAGTTCTTTTACAGCTTGTGACTGTAGATTTATGCTGTTTTTCTGTGTTTAAAGCTCTTTAAAGCAGATATTTGCCTCCGTTTTCACTGTTTTTGACCATCTGATGCATGTTTTTATCACCTCAGAATTCCTAATGAGGTATTTTTTTACAGCCTAGATGACGTCGTTAACAGTTTGACTCTAAACTGGGAAGTTTTCACGTCACATTAAGGATGTTTGCCTTCTGCTAAACAAGTTTAAATTCTGTTTGTCTTTGGGCCAAACCGAAGCCTGTGAACCTCTGATCGGCCTCGTTAGAGTCTCCAGGCTCTCATCTCATTAACATCCCTCCTTTAATCTCCGTCCAAGCATCACGCCGCCGTTTCTCGGTGGATTATTTCCAAATAAAAACCGTGTTGTCTAAGCTGCAGACTGAATAGAGGCTCCACCTGCTCTTGTCCGAGGACCAGGACGCCCTCCGGCTTGATGGGGTGGTACGGCGCCAGGTTCTCCCCGCTGCCTCGCATCACCCCGTCCTGGAAGGCCTCCCACATCCCGTCGCGGGTCGTCCACGTGATGCACAGGTGATGCCACTTGCCGTCGTTGATGAGGAAGGGCAGCTTGGCCACCTGCAGCGGATCAGAACAACAACAACAGCTCATGACTTCACCTGTTTTCTGTCTGTTGTGACTCGAGCGGCTGAGAGACTGGAGGCGACCCGCACCTTGTCGTTGATGAGGATCTCCATGGGGTTGTTGCCCCACTCGATCAGCACCAGCTCGTTGCTCTGGCCCGGCACGGCGTAGGAGAAGGGTGTCCCGACCCCCGGCGAGGCGTTGGACTTGATCCACAGGCACACGCTGAAGGAGTACATCTCAGGGAGGCTGCGCTTGGCTTTGGCGTACATGTAGTTGGTCCTCAGGGGGAAGGTGAGCTGGAACTTGTCCGTGGGCCTCGTGTCTTTGCCTGTTGAGGGGGGCAGAGGTCAGGTTAAGGGGCAGCAGGGGGCTTTTACTGCTACTGTAAAAGTAACTGATTACAATTAGTTTGACATGCAGACAGAGAGGAGTGGTTTTCTAACAGCTAAAGACTCTGATGATGAGTTCAACTCGCTCCATCTGCTTCACAACAACAGGTCACGTGACACCAGCCCCGAACAGGGCCGCCAAACTTTCTCTACGCTCGACCTTTACGCAGCAAAAACACCGAATCCCTGCAGCGTCTGGGCTCACACACACACACACACACACACACACACACACACACACACGTCTGAGAGGCAGGTTCGGTCCTAAAACACATCAAACTGAGCTGAACAAAAGTCCTGAGATATGCAGAGCAATGCAGCTGCCCTCTCCTCCCTCACAGCGCGATGCGCAAAGACGCGGTTGCGCAATTTGGGGTTCGGAACCGAACGCTGCTGCTCATCCTTTTAAGTCCGCGCGCGCACTCCGGAGCCCGAACCACGCACCTTTCTCCAGGTCCGTGATCCGGTGGTGCAGCGAGGTGAGCGTGGACTCCACTCGGTTCCGCTGCTCGGTGTCGTTCCGGGAGCCCGGCTTGCTCTCCTCCAGCGTGTTGACGCGCGACAGCACCTGCTTCTCCATGTCGTCGATCTTGTTCTGCAGCAGGTCCTTGAGGCTGTTGGCTTGCGCGGTGCTGTTGCCTCTGCTGTACTGCTGCAGGAGGAGACACACACTCGGTTAGAGACTTCCTGTCATCACTACACGGTTCTACGCTCTCATCCTACCGCCTGCTTCTGTTCTGTTTGGGTTTTACGCTCTGCGGCACATAAACGGACACAAGCAGCACTTTTACGCGCCGCGTCTCTCCGGCTCTGAGCAGGAAAGACACACAAGTGGCTCCGAGCAGAACCGGTACAGAGACCCCTCACTGATCCGTCTAATCTAATGAACCGGGCCGAACATTTTAATTAACTTGTGAGCCGCTCGGCGCCGCGCTCCTCCGCGTGCCTACCTCCAGGTTCTCCAGTCTCTGTTTGAGCGTCTGTAAAGTCTGTCCCAGCTGCGCCAGAGTGTCCGTGGTGCCCCGAGATACATCCCCCATCGTGTTCTTGGCCCCCGGCCGCCTCCCGCCGGGTCCCGCCGCCGGGAGGCTCTGGCTCTCGCAGCGGCTCAACTTGGACGTTAGTTCCCTGATTGTCTCCTTCTGGTTGACGATGGTCTCCTTCTGCTGCAGCACCGTCTCCCGCAGCTGGATGATGGTGGTCTTCAGGTCCTCCGCCGGCCCGCTGTTCTGCATGGTGGCCGTGCACAGGTCCATATCCTTGGGCACCGACGTGCAAATGAACTGCGTCTGTCCGAAGTCTTGCGCGGAGCTGCGCGCGGCCGCCGCCAGGCAAGAAAGTAGAAAAAGTTTCCACGAGAATCCCTCCATGGTTCCGGTCCGCGGTTCGGCTGAGAGCGACGGAGAGAGTCTGGGAGGTTCGGGCACCTCGGAGCTGAAGCTGAAGCTGTGAGGCTGCTGCCGCCGAGCGCACTTTATATAGCGCACAAAGCGCAGCGCAGATCCGCCGCAGCACCGAGGGGAGGCGCGCGGGCCGGCCCCTTATTTAAGGTCGTACCGGAGAGAACCGGACCGGACGAGTCCATCATCATCACCGAGTCCGATCAGTACCTGATCACAAATCAGTTTATACTCGATTCTGAACACGAAGAACAGAACATAAGAGGTTCTGGTTCCGCTCACTGCTGGTTTAACGTTAGAGTCACAGAATCATGTTTTACTCGGTACCGGTACCGACCAACACGTCCCTGAGATGGGTTCTGTTTTAACCTTCAGCTGGTTTCATCTCCTGCATTAAATATAGTTTAACCTGATTTTCTGCCTCTAAAGGTTCGTCCGGAACGTCGCAGAAACGTTTATAGAGAAACAAAGAACTGATCCCCATGTTCATAATAAAATAAAATATCTACACTGTAAAAAATAAAAACACTTTTCACTGTAGTTTTAAAATCAGTTATTTTACTGAATTTTATTGTTTTAATAAATCACAGATAATAACTTATAAAATCACAACAAAACACATTAAACATAAAAACAAACAAAAACTGTAAAAAAAAAAAAAAAAAA